GTTTGAAGTTTAAATTTGAAAATTCTCTTCGTATATTGCTTTTGTAATTTTCGTGTGTGGAAAACATGTATTGTTATTTAGTTATTTTTGCTTCAAGTATTTTTCAGATTTGTGATGAACTTGATTGCATTCTAGAGTAAAATTGATTATTCTGTTGCTCTTTTTGATTATTACCAGGTCACTAACTTAGTTTACGTATATTGCATTCAATTCAGTCATTAATATTTGCAACGAAGTTCGGGACGTATTGCTATATTTCTTAGATATGATGTTTATCTCTTGAGAAGTTGAAGTCTATACTATATTACATGCCCAGTGCGTTCATAGTATTTTGTATGTTTATTCGTTCATTGTGGATGGTCACTGATTTTAATTATTAATTTTCATCTTCAATTATAGAATATCTTAGCGGGAATGTCATTTGATCAAGGGAAAGCTCCGGTTACGGTGTTATTAGGAGCACAGTGGGGAGATGAAGGTAAAGGAAAGATTATCGATTATTTGATTGCAAAAGACAAGGTGATTCCTTAGTTTTTTGAAGATGAAGTTAAATTGAGTAAATAATGACCAATAAAAAACAAATACAAGTTTGATTGGATTTTTCTCGATCTTAATCAATAAACAATATAAATTAGATTGTAAGAGTGCTAGTATTTATAGATACCATAATGCAAAGTAGTAAATCTAATTTAGAATTTGGTAATGGAAAAAATTTCTTTAAAGTACGATAATTTTTTATATGCAGTATGTAAAATAATTCATCTTATATATTTCTTTAGTGGATAGGAAAAAATACTATTACTATCTGTTATATCGTTTGTTATTCACTGTTTATTATATATGATTATTTAAAAGATATAAATTTACGTTTACATACTTTTTGAGGTTCAAGTGGTTGCTCGTTGTCAAGGAGGTAACAATGCAGGTCACACTGTTGTCGCAAATGGACAGAAGTATGATTTCCACATTATACCTTCGGGAGTCATTGCTGAGAAATGTTTTAACATAATCGGTTTGTTACTGTTAGATATATACTGGACAAATTCATAAATTGTTCCACAAAGTAGTGGGAGATATGTATAATTTGAAAAATTTTGTATGGCTATTTCTGGAATGAAGCTTCCTTTAAAGCAATATATACAAAAAATTTATTTAGCTGTTCGAAATTAAGTCTAGTATGCAACAAGTTAACCAATGAGCAAACTTCGTTCATGGAAGGTTAAAATATTTTATTGAACTTTTTACTTGACCCTGTTTTTTTTTCAGGTAATGGTACAGTAGTAAATTTGGATTCATTTTTCCAAGAACTGAGTCATAATAAAATAACTAGTATACCCGGATGGGAAGACCGAATATTAATTAGTGATAGAGCACATATTGTGTGCGGTGTTCACATGCTTGTGGATGGTCACTCTGAAGAAAAACTGGAAATAAAGTATTTTTTGCAAGATATATTTTAGTTTGTTTAAATAATATTTGTTTTGGTCATTACCTCATCAAATTACTACCTTACAATAAGAAATATTTCCAGCAAAATTGGCACTACGAAAAGAGGTATTGGACCAGCATATTCCAGCAAATGTTTTAGGAATGGTCTTCGAGTTGGGGATTTAGTTTACGATTTTGAAGGATTCTGTTTAAAGTATGATATCGGTTTAATTAATCTCAGTCACTACTGTTCTGTTCAGAATTGACAAACTATACTCTTGCTTTCAGATTTCAAGAACTTGTTCGGTATTATCAGGAACAGTATCCTGGTATAGAGATTGACGTTGATACTGAGTTGACAAAATTTAAGGTTAGGGATTTTTTCTTCAAAAGAATATGAGCTGTGAATCCTTAATTTTTATCAGAAATACTTTTGTAGAAACACGCGGATAAATTACATGAAATGTCGTTGGTTGGTGACACAATAAGAATTCTAGATGAATTAAGAAGTAGTGGTAAATCTGTGCTTGTGGAAGGTGCTAATGGTACAATGCTTGACATCGATTTCGGTAATAATTTTCATGTTAACTTTAATGTGCGGCTGTAAAAATTGTAGAAAATACATCTTTCATATATTTTTTCATGCTAAATATTTATTGCTTCGAGGTTATAATTTTTAAAATTTTCTTTTGCAATTCAGTGTAGTATTTGCAGGAACTTATCCATTCGTAACGTCATCAAACGCAACAGTTGGAGGTGCTTTAACTGGTTTGGGACTTCCACCAACATCAATTAAAAGAGTGATTGGGGTGGCTAAAGCGTATGCGACTCGAGTTGGCTCGGGTCCATTCCCAACAGAATTGAAAAACGAGATAGGGGATAAATTGCAGCAGCTTGGACACGAAGTTATTTTTGTTTTGAAAAGTTTCTAAATTATTTTAAGCTGTTTGAAAAAATGTGTCAAATTTATCTGCTCATTTAAAGCAATTGTATATTTTGTTAACATTTTAAACGAAAATTTGTGACAATTAAGGACAACATTGTTTTCTTAATTTCTAGTAGGTTTATATAAACGTTGAAAAAAATTTTTCAATAGGTTTATATAAACGTATTTGAGTGCAAATTCAGTTTGCGAATCTCAATTTAAACTAAATTAATTCGTTTTTATAATAATGTGAAAGTCCATAGTTGTTGGTAAGACATCATATTCACAAGCTGATCATTTTTTTTCTAGTGTGAGAGCTACCTGAATTAAATCCTTTGCAACGAATTAGTTTAGTGTCAGGCATATATCACAAGTAGTTCAAAGGAAAATTTTTTTTTAATTTAGTTATTATATGAAAGTGTTAATAACATTGAGGTCGGTGTCACAACGGGTCGTAAAAGACGGTGTGGTTGGATTGATTTATTTCTTTTGAAACGATCACATCTAATTAATGGATTCACGGAGTAAGCATTATTATTAGAGAAGTATAAATTAAGTGTTACAAATAAAATCTTCATCTTTTTTACTTTCATCCAATTTCAGCATTGCTTTAACTAAATTAGATGTTTTGGATACCTTTGATGAGATCAAGGCAGCTGTATCATATAAGTTGGATGGTAAACTATTGAAGTCGCCTCCATGTAAGTATTGTTTGCTAGCCGCACCAGTTTTTAAAAATGCATTTTTTGCATGCCTGTTAATTTAACCGATTGCTGTATTCTATTGAGTGCTATTTTCTAAATGTTCTCAAGTTTCATTTCCTTTTTACTGAAGTTTTTCATTTAGCTCTAAAGTCGTTTTGATATCAGGAAAGCAATTTTCAGCTCAAGCTGCTGACTGGGATAGATTAGAGGTAGACTATCAGTCATTTAAAGGTTGGAACACATCAGTATCAGACATTCGAGACTACAATAGATTACCGGAAAATTGCCGAAAATTTATAGAATTCATCGAGCAGTACATTAGGGTGCCAGTAACATGGATTGGTGTTGGCGAAGAACGAGAATCTTTAATTCTCCGTTAAATTTAGAGATTCTGTTATAATATCTGATACATTTAGCATATCTTTAATGTTTCTAAGCGGACTCATAATTTCGACGTCCATCGTATAGTGCCATTTTTAAAGTTTATGATGATACAAAAAAGTAATTTCTCTGTAAATGATCATGTGATAAATATTATGTTGATGATTGTTTTTAACACCATTCTAGGTTTTTGACTACATGCATTTACTTAATTGGGATCTTTTTTGGTATTGAATACTTTATATTCTTTATCTTTTTTGAAAATGAAATAAAGTTGTAGGTGGATATTTCAGATATATAAATCTGATCCTCAGTTGTGTTATAATTCTGGCATCATTTAGCTTTTTTAGCTGCTTCTACGATAAAATCGAGTTCTTGCGACAGGTTCGTATTTTCCACTTCCGAGTGTTTGTACTTACTGGAAAGCTTAGAACCTCATAGTCAGTTAGAAAGTTTGCCGCTGAAGTGCGGTTCACATTATTTGTGTATTTGGAGATGGCAGTTATGTACCATAGCTTGCATAGAGAATGGTTACATGAAGTAAGCTGTTTTTCGGACGGAGGCAACTCACTTTCTGCATGAATAGTATTAGTGAGCATGAAGTTTAAACGAAAATTAAACATCGACTACTTCAATTTCTTTCACTTATGACAGTGGAAGATGTATAAGTTGCCTGTTGAAATTCTGTTCAAATTCTGATAGTATTCATAAGAGATGAAAAAAGTATTGAGAATACAGCAAACAAAGCAATTCTTCACTCCAGTTTTGTTTTAAAAGTAAAATTACGAATTCTGTCGTATGTTTCATTCACAGCTAACTTTCTATTCCCACTTTAAAGTAATTTCAAACATAGTCCCCAGTTATGATAATGCGAAGTGTGGTACATTTAACCATGCTACTTCTTAATTTTTGACAAGCAACAAAAACATAATGTAACCATTTTAAATATTCTGAATAGCTTTCATTTCGACGTAGTTGAACTTGGTGAAATCAATTTTTAATCCCTAATTCTGATGCTAGAAGTGTCATATCAATTTCCAAAAATAGTTCGGAAAGTATTAGTCTCGGACATCCCGGTGTCTTCTCACATTGATTTTGTCTTGTTTATGCAACTTCTAGAACGTTCTGGACCCCGGTGAATCATCACTTTATTTTGAAATACTCTTACACCCTCTTTCCATCTTGTTCCCCGCTATTAACAGCGTCTTTTACATACCCACGTAGACTCCTTGGGTGTCCATGCTTTCTCTGCTCGTACCACTATGAGGAGAGAGGTAGTGTAGAAGAGATCGCTGTACGTTATATACATATCATCTGGGTCTGTTTTGGTCGGTTGGTTGTTTAGTTTGGTGGTTGGGTTTATTATTCAATTGATTTGTTGGCAGGTAGCATGGTGTGTATGACTGATTGTTGTGAAGATATAATATTTTCGAAGAAATTCTGCCAACTTTATTTTGTTATTCATAGGTCATTTCTATCAAGAGTAACTTAATTTCCAACTTGCAAAGTTCTTAAAATCGATATACTACTGACCCATCACACTTTTGTCACTTTGCTAGTATTTTGGTCTGTATATCTGTGTAATCAACAACGAGTTTGTTACACGGATTAAAACTATTTGTGTAGTGAAGACATGTTTTGTGTAGCATGCAAAATATGATTGAACTTCAGCTTGAAAAGTTTGTTGTAAGTTGATTGATTTCTTACAATGCGTTATGATCAAGTATTTGTTCTCTGAGCATTCACATTTGTGTTTGCTGCCCGTCTTTCATTGAATGATGGTTTACTGTGATTCCTTTTCATATCCTATACTTTTCTTTTTAGCGAAATGGCAACTAAGTCTTCAGTAAAACCTCCAACTGAAGTTGTCTCTGTGAAATGGGAGCATTTCGGCACTCTTCGGCGTTTCCAGCTGAAGATCGATAAGAAATCTGATCTGTTTTCTATATTATTGTCGAAAATCAGAAGTCTTGTCGGTACCTTCGAATACAGTTTGGGATGGAAAGGTAATTCAAATCTCAAGATTTATTGCTGATGATCTTATCATAAGTTCAAGATTTCTACATCGTTTCGTCTCATTATCACTAGCAGTGTTTATCTAATAACTTCAATTGCTTACAGTACTCAATGAGGATGTAAGTCAGATGGTAGATCTTGTGTGGACAATTTATTTCATCGAATTATCATAGAAAAGGCTAATGTAGATCGTAGAGCTTCGTAGTTTATTAAGACTCCAGTATTACAGTCATGTCATGTAACTGATGTAGTCGTTTTTTTCGTCTATTTTGTTGTTGAGATAAATATCTTCTATAGAGTTACCCTAAAGGATGTTTTTTAGATGAGGATGGTGACGTAATTTGCTTTTCCAGTGATGAAGAATTACGAGATGCACTCCATTACGTTAATAACTGTCTTCGGATTCATACGATTGGTAAAGCTTATATTTGATACAAATCATTGAAAAATGAAAGTGACTTAGTGAAAGTTAATTCTTATGTAATTCAGTTTTTTTTATTTGTTTGCACTTATATCTTTCAGGTTATATTCTTTTTCAGCTCATGATTGTCCAACAGACGAAAGTAAAGGGACTGCAAAGAAAAGTGAGAAAGTGGTATGTTATGGACATTTGAAATAATTTTGGTTTCATGGCTTCAATAGCTAGTGATAATAAATGTGTTCTTGTATGTAACTGTAAATAGTTATAATTCCGTCCGGAGAATAATTGTTTCGCTAATGAGTTGGGAGTGATTTTCATTTTTTTAATAAATTTGTTGTTGGGGGGATTTTGTTATTGCAGCAAACTAAGATTATCATTTTCCGAATGCTGTGGTTTCTTGAAAATATTTTAGCAAATCAAACTAATCATTGTGTTTCACACTTAGCGTTGTTTTAGAAGGAGAATCATCCACATGTTACGTGCAATCACTGTAATCAACCGGTTTTTGGTATTCGGTATAAGTGTGGTGTATGCGATGATTTCGATCTATGCGAAGAATGCGAGAAGGAAGGAGTGCATGCTTATCATGGAATGTTTCGTTATGCGACACCGCGAACACCGGTAATTTTTAAAAGAGAGTTTTGGCTTTTAACATAGAATTTTCAGGAATGAATGTGTAATATGGAAATATCATTGTGGTTGCAGCGAGAAACAGATAATTTTTATAATTTTGTTATCGTTATTAGCAAAAGGCTATAATTTTCATTTATCCATTTACGTACGCAATTTCTGGTTTCGCTTTGTAGAAAATAGAGACTTTTCCACGCTTGAGACGCAAGTGGCGGCATTCTGGGGGCTGTCGAGATCCTTTTATGCAGGATGTCTTTGGGCAAACTGCTGCAACTGCCGCTCATGTTGCTCAGCAAGCTGCTCAACAAGCAAGCAAGCATATTGCAGAATATGCTGCTAAACATGCTGCAACAGTAACGAGACAGTTTGCTGACGTAAGTTTTTATTGTCTTGCAATCATGCTGTAGCGAATAATAAGCTTAAATCCGAAATTATTAAATATTAATTAGTTGGGCCCTTTGTGTTTTTTATTCATTAATTACGTTATTAGAGTACGGGAAATGCATCAAACAATGTTAATAATCCGCCGCAGTATCGGAAGTCTGTTGCTCAGAGCATGGAATATTTGAAAGAATTTGGTACGCATATTCAACAAGCTCTTGCTAATTTCGGTAGATTGCTTTGCTTTTAATCTTTTTCTCTGCCTAACAATTCCTTTTTGCTTCTTCACCATCATTTTGAAAGTATATTTTAAGTGAAATTTTTATTATCTCCAATTTGGCTGTCGTTAAGCCGTGGAATACTTCAGGTAACTAGTGTATTTTTAGGCATTTTTTATTGCATTGTTATCATGGTTGATATTGTTGTGCTTATGAGATAGAATGTTGGTTTCTTATGTTGTCAGGGATCGAAGTTGATATGGAAGTTGAGCAAAATGATACAACTGAAAAACAGCAAGAAACGAATAATAGTGGTGCGGAATGTAAGGAAACGAATAATAGTGGTGCGGAATGTAAGAGGGAGGACAGTAGTGGAATGAAAAAAAATGAGCAATTACGGAATGACAGTGAAGTTATTGCACAAAAGGATGATAATTCTGAAACAGAAAATGAGGCTGGAAAGCGAAGAATTGATGGACAGGATTCAAAGATTGTAATGATTTCGAAAATTTGACTATGAGAATTTTTTTCGATGTTGAAGTCTGAAAATTTTCTCGTATTTGACCATATATTTGATTACCGAATAAATTCCACTTCTGATTAAAGTTCAGCATTGGATGTGTTTCATTGGTGTTTTTAGGAATCAGACAATTTGCATGTGCCGATGAAAAAAATGCACATATCGGATGATGAGTCAGTAAAATGTGACCTTAAAAAGTCTGAGCATAGCACTTTTGTTGATGAAGGTTCTGATGAATGGACGTTAATGGGCGTTACTGGTTCAGGTAATAAATTTAAATCAAATATTTCTGTTGTTCGTTCTGCATAATCAGATGGGTCGGTTGTATCTTTAGATAATGTTTTATTGTGTATGCGATCCATCAAAGTTGATCAATAGAAGGAATTGAAATGGTTTTTTTACAATTTTCCTTTAGCTCCACCGCTGTCTCCTGCTGCCAGTGATGAAAGTTGTAAAGCGGGTACGCCATTCATAGTTCCGTTATCCGGGCCGCATAATCCGCACTGTCATTTTATATATCCAGGTTGGTTCTTCTGGTTTATGTGAAAATAGAGACTAAGAAAAGTATAAGGAAGTCGGATTATGTTGAACTTACGTAGTTTTCATGTGTTTTGGAACATTACATCTAATAATAAGAAAATGCAGATAAAAAAATCGCACTTTGTGTGGAGCAATTAGAAGGAATGGGTTTCGACAATTGCAATGGTTGGCTTACGAAACTTGCTGCGGATTATGGTGGTGAAATTGATTCTGTTATTGAGAATATGATTGCAGATCCTGCTTATATAAGACATTATGAGAGCTATGTTTAAGTTTTTCGATCATGGAAGATGTGCAAAATTTTAATATTGCAGTTTAATCTGCGCATATTAAATTTTGCAGAATGTTTTACAATAAATATTGGACGGTTTTAGATTTAATATTCATTAGTGGTCTATATTTTTCTAGATATCATATTCATTACTCTGTATTTATGTATTCCATATTCATCTTGTTCTTGTACATTTATTTTTAGTCGTAACTAAAAATTATTGTAGGGAGGTGATGTTGTAATTAGTTTTTTTCATATTTGAAGTTTTTGTCTTGGAAATTCCGTGCTATAAATAAACACTTTCATATTAAATTTGTCTCGTCACAATTCTTATTTATGATCGTTGATAAGTGTGGCTTGCTTCTTTTGCTATAGAACACTGCTAAAAGGTATGTCATGAATTAATTGTTCGTTTGCAAGATAGAGTTGGCCTGTGGCAAGTAGTCTGTTGTTCGCAGTAATGGACATATGGTCTATTAGTGGGATACCTGGCTAGCTTCTGAAAGATCGAGGTAATGGACTAGAGGTGGAGGAAGGTGCTGTGCATTTGACAATCAATGATTGGGATTTCATATTTGCGATAGAAGGCCTTGTTAAAAAGAATCGCAACGAATTTATCTTGTGGTTGTGCATATTGCTTGGTGTTTGTTTTTTACTCGAACTTGTGCTACTACGCCTTGTAATATAAGGGTCGAGTAAGGTATGCTATTGATCTCAGTTAACATCATTACTGGTAAAGTGCCAGTAATGTGAAGTTGTTGAAAACTTAAACATTATATTATTAATTATTATTACCTGTAAGAAGCACGAAGTACTGAATAGTATTGTTTTTCCTTTGTACAAGATTATATCTGTTAGGCTTATTGCTTTCTGCATGTTTATTGCTAATTTCAAGTGAAATTTTAAATTAGAAAGAAATAATGTGTTTTAATCACATTATAGTTTTAGATGGGTGCAATTCTTGCAGCACCAGCATGTGCTTCATCGGTTTGTTGTTATTAATCATTACTCCATCTAAAAAACTTTCTCTCTTGTTATAACATTATGGCTGTTCGTATAGATGATTATAAACATTATTATTTATGTAAATAGTTTTTTAAGTTAATCAACAAGTGCTTATTCTATTAATTTATTATTGCAGCTGGCATGTTGTTGCGGAAGTGCAGCATGTTCGCTATGTTGTGCAGCTTGTCCAACAACTCGGAGCTCATTGACTACTCGAGTTATGTATGCTGGAATGCTATTAGTGGGAACGTTCGTCGCTTGTCTTATGCTTTCTCCCGGTATACAAACAAAACTTGCTGATGTTAGTTTATCTCTAGTATGTTTGGAAGAATAATCATTGTTTTTGTTTTTTCAGTTTTTGAAGTTCTATAAGTTATTGATTGAAATACTTTAACTATTCTTGCAAAATTAATTTCTGTAATCTTATTGAAATTTTTATTTAGTCGAGTTGGTTTTGTAAAGGTTTGTCTGGTATAGCTGGAATCAACTGTTCTCGAGCTGTCGGTTTTCAAGCTGTTTACAGGTAATAGTTAAAGTTTAGAGTACAGTATGATCGAAATTAGATCGAAAAAAATTTAAGTAAATTTAAGATTTGCATTTTTTTTTCACGATGAATAACGCAAGCGAAAATTTTTTCACGTGCGATAGCTTTGAGTTTCAGACTTTGTGCGGGAATGGCTATATTCTTTTTCTTATTTATGGTTTTGATGTTGGGAGTGAAATCATCTGGTGACCTACGATCCAGAATTCAAAATGGATTCTGGTTTTTCAAATATTTGATTATGGCCGTGACTATTGTTGGATTATTTTACGTCAGCTCAGAAAATATTTCTTCTCGTTTGTTTTTCTCATTGAAAACTTTTTAAATGTTTCTTGACATCAATGAAAGTTAAATTTTTGTATCTGTTAAACACATTTCTTTGCATTAAAATCGAATGGAACATTTTAAATAATTTGTTTTGCAGCCTTAATGTGGATAGGGTTGATCGGTGGTTTCCTTTTTATTCTTCTTCAACTCATTTTGATTGTTGATTTCTCTCATTCACTTGCTGAGGGATGGATGGAAAAATATGAAGAAGATGAAAGTCGCGCTTGTTATTGCGGTAGGGTTAATCTGCTTGTGCACTTATTTTCTATTATAAGTTATCTACTGAAATTGTCTTTTCTGTTTGATGGCTTGTCCGTGAATTAGTGTGAATTTAGTCTCTTAGCTTCGTATAGAAAGAGTCAAAAGCACACGAAATTATGATGCCTACACACTTTATAATCGAATCCTTACAAAACTGTGGCTAGAACTTTTACTTCAGTTGTGTATTTAAAATATTATGATCAATTTTTGTCCTAGACTAGTATAACACGAGAACTTTTAAAATAAATCAGATTTAATAAGTTTTTGACTGCTGTTTTTGCAGGATTATTGACATTTACTGGTTTGTCATACTCGCTGGCCATTTCTAGCATTGTATTGATGTACATGTATTATACTACGGTGAGTTCTCTGTTAATCTCCATTTTAATGTATAAGCTTACTTTTTTTTACTAAAAAATTAAATTCACGTTGCAGGGGGATTCATGCCATCTACCGAAGTTTATCATTACATTCAATCTTATTCTTTGTGTGTTTATATCTATATTATCGGTTCTTCCGCGAGTACAGGAGCGTATGCCTCGATCAGGACTACTTCAGTCATCGTTCATTGCACTCTATGTTATGTATATCACATGGTCTGCATTAATTAATAATCCAGGTATTCTCACTACTGACGCAATCATTGAAATCATTTGAAGAATTTAAAAGCTTATAAAAAATTTTTCAGACAAAAAATGCAATCCTTCACTAATTGACATATTCACAAATCGAACAACCCCACAAGGCCAGGTGAAATTTTATTGTTTCAGAACTATCGTTTTGATATAGTTAGAAAATTTTTCACTACATAATTCGAGAGGATACAAATAAATAATATCCATACTCTTTTATCATTTTTAAATTAATTTTCAGCACGTGTATGGAACACCTATTCCAACAGAATCGCTCATTTCGCTTTTAATTTGGTTTATTTGTATTTTGTATGCATCATTCCGTACTTCATCTAGTTTCAACAAGATAACAGGAGGCTCGCATGGAACAGTAGACGACTCAGAAAACGGTTCCCAACAGCACGTTATTTCATCTTCCCAAGGTCCATTGCATACTTCATCCTATCGTCCTCAGTAGTTTTTAATAGCTGATGTTAAAAGAATAAACATCCTTGCACCTTTGCAGTTTTACCTTTTATGAAAATTTCAAAAATTCTGTCAAAAAGTTCTTGATAGGGCGAAGTTTAAATGGACTTTGCATGACTCTGCTAACACTATCTGTCTTCAACTTCTTGCCTGCATGTTTACTGCTTTTTTGCATTTAGATTGTTTCTAAGACTCCTTGTCGTAGCAAGGAGTTTATCTTCATCGATTAGTAGAGAATTTGCAGCTTATCTGAATATTAATTAAAATTGGTTGTGAAGTATTTTTAGATGGCATTCTTGCTTACTCTTGGTATTGAAATGAGAAATTGTCTTGTTTTCAGTTTCCTCAAAGTTTAATTTTATTTGAATTAGTTGTTAATTGAAGGAGTTCCATTCTCATTTGGTGGAAATCTCCGTTCATTCATGAAAATTCTGCATGTTTTTGCACGAACTTAATTTGTGGTGTCTTCATAGTGGTGAGTACTTAATGGTTTGATTTCAAGATCTTAACAACAGACGTGTTTGGGATGATGAGTCAGATGCAGTATCGTACAGTTATTCATTTTTCCATTTCGTATTTGGGCTGGCCTCTTTATATGTGATGATGACTCTCACAAGCTGGTATAAGTAAGTGTATTGTTAAGATTATTAAAGATATCCGATAAGATCTTAAATTAACGACTTGAAAAATTTTAGGATTTTTATTCTACTTTACTTTGTAAATCTTGTTTCAGGCCTGACAGTGATTTAAGCCACTTAAATAGCAACATGGCTGCAGTTTGGGTAAAAATTGTGTCTTCTTGGATTTGTTTAGCCATTTATGCATGGACGCTTATGGCACCTGTAATTTTTCCTGATCGGGACTTTTCTTGAAATATAAGATCTTTTTGGACAAGAATTTTTAGTCTTGTTAAGAAGTGAAGTTAAAATTTAAATTCGTTTATAACTAATTAATTTGCCTGCAGATTGTGTTACACTTTTTGTAGCCATTTCCGAATAACTTGATGCTATTCTCTTTATTTTATATTTTGTAAAAATAATTTCTTGCCGTTATTGTTACTCAGCTTCAGTGTCTACTTTCACATTCTGTACTCTTACTTGTATTCAACATGTGTACATTTTATTGTCGACAAGCTCTTTCCTATTTCTGATCTGGATGTTATCTTTATATCTCATAGCAATTATTGTGATAGAATGATTGAATGTTACGTGATGTAGAAAGTTTTCTTAGATTTCATCTAAATTGTGTACATTGCGTTTTTTGGAAGAGTGACTTGTTTAATTATGGTATACATCATTATACTTTAGCTCTCTTTATCATTTTTTCTGAGTTTCTAAGGAAGCAGATGGTTGTTATGAGAACAGCTTCACTTTGCGTTTAATAGATGATTTTTAGAAGATCGTTGAAAAGATTTTAATTGACCTGAATCGTGTTTGACATTGTCTTGTAAGAAGCAAAATTCTTTTCAATTCTACTGTATATTTTTTGCTGTATGTTTTGGTTTTGACGAATAAATAATTTCGAAATATTTTAACTTCTATTGATGTGGTTCTAAACTAATTATCATCTATTTCCGTTGCAAAAGAGATTATATCAGGAGCAGGTTTCGTTTTCTTGTTGAAGCACTTTGTGTAGGTAGATGTTTGGTACTGTATATAGTTCGCCAGCTGTTTGTTTTTTTGAGTGAAATGTAGTTGATTTGTATATGAATTGCAGATTAAGTGAGCAACAAGGAACATGACCGTTGATTCATTGTCAATGGAGCGGTATATTGGACCGGTAAGTCTAAGAATTTTCAGGACTAAGTTTCTTTTCGATATTGATATTGTGATATTTATTCTTGTGTTTCATTCACATTTCAGGTGAATCCATCTTTATATTCTCAGTTAGCAGTTTTGCTACTTGCCATTGGTCTATTTTTTATGGCTTGGTTCTTTGTTTATGAGGTTTGTTGCTCATTTCCATTTATAAGTTCTACTTTGTTCACTGCGTGTTATATTTCCTTTGATACCATTTTGTACTTGAAAATTTTGAATTCTAAAGTTAAGAAATTAGTATTCATATACTTAAGGTAACCTCAACAAAGTATACTCGAGTACTAATCAAAGAATTATTAATTTCAACGTTTGCTGCACTTTTTCTTGGATTCGGTTCAGTTTTCCTTATGCTTTGGACAGGAATATATATTTAATCAAGCCATACTTCACTACATTTGTTGCCTTAATTATTGTGATTCCACTTGTTCGGTATTTCATTGTACCTTTTTAAGGGAGTAATTGCGGATTCTTTTTCTTTCCAACTTCTGTCTTAAATAAAAGTTCTTTTTGTGTGAGTTTTCTAAATTATTGAACTTATATGTAATACTTTGTCTTTTCATTGCGTATAATTCTGAATATCCTCAGTGGTATATCTTCTAATGAAAGTTTTATTGTGCTGATTTTGTGATCCAGAAATGATTTTCTTTCAGATATGAGAAATGTATTGGTTATTTTAAAGTTGTGCAAAAAATAGTCTAAGCAACATTTTATCACATCACTTATAAACAGCACAAGCATTATATAATATTATGCAGGCACTTACCATTTTCTTTCTTTTAGCGAGAATGACCTGAGCATCAAAAATATGTCAAGTTTATTTATTTTTATATACCTCCATCTTGAAATTTATATTCAATAACTGATCTACCATCTTATAATTCACAGTTGATAACAAATAAGGCGCTGTAAACATCTGAAGATCCATTGATCTCTGGATAACCCTAACTAGTTTCTCCAATTTTTAATTGAAGGAAAAGTATATTGACTTGATGAACAATTTAAGTGAATGGTTAGTACTTGGATGTCATTGTTTATTAACGCTTCCTGCAGAAATTCTGACAGGAAGAAATGTCATCGAAACGGTTTTCATTGCCACCACAAGTTTGTGTACCAAATGGATAACATTGTTCAGTTACTTGATCAAAGTAGTAACTAATGTGTAGTTTTTCCTTTTTGTCTACTATTCTGTTATTCTTTTCACTACTGGTTGAGCATAACCCCGAATCTAAAAAAAAATCTATAAAATTCAAATTAGCTTTTGATTTCTAAGTGTGTATGTGTCATAAAGAAGCCTTGATGTAATTTGTAGTTTTAGCTAAACATCGTTATTGGAAACAGTTTGATGAGTAGAACTTAGAGTTATGAATTTAATGCTGATATAACTTGTAGATTACTTACTGTATTAATCAAGTCTGTTTCTATAGATTTTGCATTTTAATAGGATCAAATCAATTAAAAGTCCAAAAGTTTGGACTCTTATTAATTAGTAACTGATAATAAAAATGAATATTTATAGCCATTTCTGAATTTTTTGTGGAAAATTCGTCAGCTTCTTAAATGAAGTGTTATAAATAATACCTTGCGACAGACTTTTATTATATCATATTCACTACTTGTACTTAATTATCTTAATTCACGTAAAAGCTACATTAAATTTGTAAAATCTCACCTGGTGGGAGATAACAAGTGCATGGATAATGTTCTGCAGCAGTAAATACAGGTGGATCAGGCATGTAAAGAGCGTCCAGTATGTTACATACAAATATGGAGATTGTTAATAGTTCAGCTTTTAGCATTTCTGTAAAATCATAGTTTTGAACAATTCTGGAAATACTGACCGATAAATAATTGCAAGATTCATTTTTACTTTTGCAACTTATATTTTCATTCAACTGAAATAATTTATTTACCTTAGCGTTTGTTTATACGTATACACATAAGAAATACTTTTAGACTTTTCTTTTTAAAGTTTAAGATCATATCTGTGATTATCTCTGTTTTGGTCTCCTTTATATTCTTTTATATATACATGAAATATGGTGAAACATTCCAAATATGAATCACAGATAAGAGATCTAAGATTTCGTACTTGCTTGAATTTCAAACTTTCATTAATTTTTTTACTAGCTGCTTGAGAATACAAATATGGATTAGTTTCTTGGTTAGCAATTTTGTATTCTAAATCAAAAATAAAATGGTTGTTTGCATTCAATGCTAAGATTTAATTTTGATTAGAAAGTTGTTACAATGATGAGTTAAAACGAGAGGTGATGCAAAAGAAATTTAAAGTTATAGAAATTTGCATATTCGCAAAAGGAAGTGATTTTTGCTGTATGCATAGAATACCATACTTGCAGTCAATAGGTTGGTAGATAAAAGGATAGATAAATGGGTTTACAGGTGACCGAATTTGAGAGGTGCACAAATAATTACTAGTCCTTAATATGGGTAAATTGACATCAGCGACTATTATGCATACCTTTCAACTGTGAAAGATTTGAGTAAGTTTGTTTGGTCGATGGAAATGAATATAAAAATAGTTATAAAATAGACAAATATTAAATGCTTGAAAGATAAACGTTTCAAGCGAAGATTAAATAAAGATTTGTAAGAGACTGGTAAGATTAAAAAATAATGAAAACATACATTTTGAAGTATACACGGAGTATCGAAGTGTATTTGAAGTTTAAGAATACAAATTTAAAATTTATGATTTTTCGATCAATCAATGGCTTTTGAAAAACTTTCACATCACTACTAATTATTTTCATCAGTTGTTTGAGCAAATATTAGTTTGATTTTGTAACTGATTTTACAATTAATGAGCATCTGGTTATTGCTGTAAAGAGTAACAATGATAGTTAAGATTAATAACAAAAATAACATTGATTTGTTGATTTGATAAATTATTATTAACAACAAAATAGTGCAATTCATTAAATAAATTGTGCATTGATACAAAGTTAGTACTAAGGCATTCTGACAAAAATTTTGTAATGATCAAACTGATGTTTTCACATTTGCAATATTTAGTTTTAAGTTCTGTTTGCATTTATATAAAATTTCAAACCAATTATATCGTTTGTAAAGAAATACAATTTAAATTGAATTGTTGTCGTGGATTTAAACTTCAACAACAATCACCGACCTAAATATCATTATTACTATTATTACTGTTACTATTACTATAATAACAATAGTAATAATAATAACAGTAGTAATAATGATAATAATGATAATAATAATAATAATAATAATAATGAATAAATAAATAATTTATTATTGCTATTGTTATTGTTACTGTCATAATTACTACTAGTCACGGTTTCCTTTTTAAATTATCAACTATAGAATAATGCAATTGATCAAACAAATTCTGCTTTGCTTTTCAATCTCTATGCAAACTATAAATATAATTATTATATAGTTGAAAAAGTTTGAGTAAACTGTTAAAATACAAAAATAATAAATGAAATGGCATGAATCGACATAAGTACTAAAAAAGTAATACCTTTGCTCACAGTTAAAAAACTGAGTTCTGAAGTGTGCTAAAGAAATATTTGACATTTTACGTGATATAATGCTAAGTAAATAAAATATGCAAAACAAGTTTTGAAAAATTACTAATCATATCGATCAGCGATTGATTTTATGATGATTTAGATGGGTAAGATCAAACCAAAATTTTGATTATATACTAAGTTAAGTGAGAAGTAAATTTGCAAACTAAATAATTGCAGAGAGATATTTCTACCCTTTACCTTATGTAAATATAGATTTGGATTTAATACACTGATTTAATATGATCACTGATTTGATATGATCAAAGTGATTAATTTGCTTATCACAAACTGTATTGGAATATTTTTATTTGTACTCAAATATTTTAAGTTCCAATGTTCGTGGCATAATTGTTTTTAATGTTACTAAAGTAAATGCTGTTTTTTAAATTTAATATTATTACTGAAATGAGCTGTAATTTTTTAAACTTATTTGTTGAAAGTACTGTTTTGTCATTTACTTATTTTTCAAAACAACATTTGGTATTACTGAAAATTGCTGTAAAGAAAATAATAATTAAAAATTTTTTTTCAACTTACATTTTCTTTAAATCTTTTTACGCGTTTCAACCATGAAAAATTATACTTGAATTGTAGTTCAGGTTTTTGATTCGTAAATATTTTGTATAATTAAAAAAATTGACACAAAGTAAAACATAGTGGTATGTTTGACTTTCAAAGAAGTCTCATTAAATAGACCAAACCTGTCACAAACATATTTTAAAGTATTAACTTGAAAATATGCAATAATTTCGTGTAAAAAAAATTTAATACTCATCAAAAATATAAAAATTAGTAAATGTAAATTGAAATTTTTTTCAAGTAAAATAATAATTTATGAAGATAAAAGAATTAAAAACAGAAATTCAACAGAATCAGATCAATGTCAAAAGGTCAAAATTGATAATAAATCTGAGTAAAAAGTTAATTGTATTATTCATTTCTGGTCTAACTTTTTAAGTGCTTAGTCTATATTCATTGATAAGATTACATTTATAACTAATTGCTCAAAAATTTTTGAAAAATAGGCAATCACTAAAAAGGATAAATAATTTTTGATAAATTCGAGGATTAATTTTATGCAAATAAGTAAGGAATGAAAAATATTTTTAATAAGCAATAATTGCATCAAATAATTAATTGATTAATTAATCAAATATTCGCAAATTATTTGTCATATGTGCGCTAAAGTAAATAGATACCTATTCGTTATTTATTTTTAAATAATCTTTCTTGAAATTATCAGCGAGAATAACCTGTTTGTGAAATATAATTTTCAAACTTACAAACGCTTTGCATCAGTATTGGCATGTTGAATTTTCAGATTTTTAAGCAAAAGCAAATAAAATTCAAATCATTACGATTTTGGTTATTTATTTAGATAATTGTAAAATAATGCAAATCTATATATCAAAATAGTATCACCTTCCACGAGTTATTATATATCGTTAGCAAATTTGAACCCGCTTAATTAATACAATTGTAATTTGAATATTATTGTATCTGATATCACTTTGCTAATAAATTGAAATTTGTAATTCACAATGTCAATATTGACATAAATTATGAATTAGTAAGGAAATTAACTTAAGAAAATTGGCAAAGCAAGTGGTTTTGAATTCCACAACTCAAAATCAAGAAATTATTTCAGAAATGATTGATTAAAAATTAAAAAAGATTCATAATATTTTGAGCCTATCAAATTTAAAAATCGTATTTAAATTGTGTACGATTTGAAGGTCGTATTTTCACGGTTATAAGATTTTTCAAATTTTTAAATTTTATTCACAACAACTTTTTTAAAAAAAGAAAAATTAAAAAGCTATAGTAATTAATTTTTTATTTTTTGATAGTACAGAAAGTTACCAACAAATTTTGTAAAACCTTTAATAACTAAAAAATTTGGTTTGAACGTCAAAAAAGCTATTTTCTGATTTTTTTTCTTTAAACAAAATTTTGAAGTAGAAATAGCAATCCCACAAAAGTTTGCAAAAAAATAAATGCACTTGATCAGGCATTTGATTTCTATATTTTGTACAGTAAAATATTTCCTTTGATCGAATATTGTTATAGCAGGAATATTTCTATAGCACTAATGAAAATGAAAATAATAACAATAAAACAAATTTGAGTTGTAAAGAATACACGTTGCCAATTCAAAATCATTACTTACAGTTTTAGCAAGAAACTTTTGGTTCCACTGAAACATTCATAAGCAACCATTATTTAATAATAGCAATTACTGCTCAAATTATTACATTTATGACTGATACTTTGCAATTTTCTAACTTTTTAGAAATATTTTTATTACTCCTTTCAATCTTTGTTGCAATTTCAGCTTATGTAAATAAATTTGATCCACCACACATTTTTTTAATTTCGCTCGAATGGCATATAAAAAAGAATAAATATTTTTTGGTCGCAAAAAGAAATTGTTGAATTTTTATCAAACCTTAAAAAACAATTGCAAGCAGAAAATTCGGCAACTGAGATCAGTACAGTACGTGACCTTCCAACTCTCATATTATTGGCATATATGTGGAATACTCAAAGAAACTAATTAATTTTTTTAAAGTCAAACAGCTTCGATTTTTAATTTTTAAATTTTTGAACAGAAAATAAAATGAATATTCAAGGAATATGTTTAAATAATAAACTTTTTACGACATGTAAGAATTTGATCAAATTTATTTATTTTATAATAAAATTTCAGTTTCCTTCTATTTTTTGTTTTTAATTACTGATATGTTAGGTAATTTTAAATTTGTTGACAGCATTTTTTTTAAGTAAAATTGTTAATACGAACTCTTTTTTTTCATTCTAACAGCATTATTTATATTCAAATATATTGTTGTGAATAAAAATGCAAAGTAAGATGCACAAAATCAAACGTTGATAAAAAGCTAATGATAAATGTAAAAAGTAAGCATAAATTATCCAATCAGTTAATTGTTTGAATAATTATTTGGTGTTTTCATTTTAAATAATTATGTTATCAATTTTCTATTTTTTAAATCACAGTAACTAATTAAATTATGCGTACATTACTAGTTTGTTTGTTTTTTAAGTTTGGCAATCGTAACAAATAAGTTTCATTTAAACATATCTTTGTGTGGTTCGCTTATTATTTTTAAAATTTAATAATTATTTCAAATTAGTTTTTAAGTTGTTTTTTTCTCCACAATCAAATATTTTATAATTTATAACTAATTTAGTTATACCTTGCACGAAATAAGTGCGGAATAAATTTTTATGATATTTCAGGTTAATTGAGAAAAAGTTCTTATTTAAATAATTTTCCCGGAAACCGTTGGAAACTTGGGCGTGGTTAGCTCCGACTTTTGAGCTTAATATCCAATAGGATAGAAAGGCCTTGAAAGGCCTATTTTTCATGTCAATGCCAATTGGAAAATGAAAGCTACATATTAAGCTACTTACTTTTCTTTTTTCAATCTTTCTTTAATCCAAAACTCTTTTATTTTCTCTTTCTTAATTTTTTCTAAAAAAAGTGATGGCGTGAGCTTTTCGTTAAAACGATAGCACAACTTTTTATGGCACCGTTGCGACGTTCTGACGCTGTACAACAAAGTTTTCGTCGATTTCATAAATCTATTCGAGATGGAGTACGTCATTTTTCACGTCAATCATTTTTCATTTAGATCTTTACTTATCTTTTACGTTTACTTACTTCTCAGAAATAAATCGCTATTTATATTATTTTTTCTAGAAATAGGAGATAGTAACATTCTTTTTAAGACATTATGATCTATCAAAAATATAATCTTCATAATTGCTAATATATTTACTTTTGTTTACATATATAATCACTTCGCATTTATAATTCGCAATCTGCTATTTAAATTGTTTTATTTTTGATTTATAATAACTATTTAATTTAGTTTCTTTTAATGACAAAACTTCTTTGAATTCAAAACAATGCTTTTCAGAATTATTCAAGTAAAATTTAGTAATTTGTTAAAAGTTTTATTAATTTTCTGTTATTAAAAAAAAGAGTATGAAAAAAAAAATAATTTAGGCGACGTCAGCAGCTTGTGCAATTCGTCAAGAAGCTGAATTAAATATTAGACGTATACGTCACGTTCCACGATGGATGCGTGTTTTAAGTAAAATATATCATCAATACGGCCTTAAGCATATTCTTCTAATCACGATTCTTATTATCTATCAATTTATTGGTGCAGCAATATTTTATCTTTGCGAAGCGGCACATGACGAATCACGTGAGATAGTTTGGAAAGAAAAAGTGAAACAAAATCGAACGCGTTTGATTGATATTATCATATCGTCAATGTTTAACAATAGCGATTACCTATTTTTTCTTACTACTAATCAGTCGAGACAGGTTTGAAAACTTTGTAACAAAATAATTTTCAAGACATTATCGAAATTGGATATACTATTAAAATATATTACATTTTGAGTTAAACTTTTTTGCTTTTACTAGAAACACAAAATTTTAATGTTATTTATTAAAATTAAAGCAGTAGGGAAATATTTTTCACACGCATACAAACATTAAATAATTTAATGATTTTAAAATATAATTTTAGGTTACGAGCCTATTAAACAAAGAATTAAAGCTTTACGAAAAACAACTTGGTATTAAGTATACAGATCAAAAAATTAAATGGGACTTTTGGAATGCCATGTTATATGCTCAAGTAATTAGAGCTAATTTTTATGCTTTATATTGTGCTTTTGTATACTTCGAAAACCTTGTGTGCTTAAAATAGTCTTTGTAATACTTTAAATTAAAAGAAGCAAATAAAATTTAAATTTAAGTGAAGAATATAAAACATTCTATGTTTCAATTTCATATATACCTTTATACTTTTTTCTTGTATTCTGGCGTTTACAAAAAGTTTTGATTTTTCTCATTTTTACAAATTGTTTATAATTTGATACTAATGAGTAAATAATGCATATAAAATATGATTAAAAATTCTTTACTTAAATTAATTTATTGTGTATATTATTTTCAGACAGTATGTACAACTATTGGTTATGGTCACTTGTATCCATCTACAACAGTAGGACGACTATTCACGATGCTTTATGCAATTGTTGGCATTCCACTGGTGTTAAGCATTCTCGATGACCTCGGTTAATCTCGAGCTTAATTGATCTAGATCATTCTTTTTCATTTTGAAAAAAAAATTGTAAACGTTGATAGATACTTATATTTATTTAATTTATTAAAACAATATGATTGATCTAAGATCAATCATTTAGGCATCAGCTTCTTTTTTGTTTAAGATTTAAATTTTTTGTATTTAATAGTTATATGATACTTTTATTCTAAAACCAGTAACTTCAGGTACTACACGTATGAGAAAAGTAAAAATAGAATAACGCGTTTTATAATTTTTATTTTGACTTCATATGAGTAGGTATACTTATTCAGCTTTTAAGAATGATATATGCAATTTTCAGAATATTCTTTCGTAGAGTGTAAAATTATATTTATAAAAAACATTTTAATAAAGTAAAAGTATTTTTTAAATTAATTATATTTTGTTTGGAAATCAGTTAGTTGAAGGATCTTTTGGCATAAAAGTGAAGGAGGAAAGGTTAAATGTCATTTTAGAAATTGCACATTTTTGGCAATTTTTCTTTACTATTGAGGCAAAAATAGAAAATTGGAGAGGCGTAAGATAAAGCACATATTTTATTCAGTTTTCAGCAATGATATGCTTGCACGAATTTTATAACTAACAATTCACATTTGTTGTGAATTTAACTCTAAGCTTTCTTTGCAAGAAATACTTTCTAATGCACTCCATTAAGTAATTTTGTTTGAAAACTTTTAGTTTTGTTTTAATTTTTGCAACAAAATTGCTTATCAAAATTAAACATTTCGTTTACAGGTCTTATGATTAATTATATTCAATTTTCGTATGCTTAAATTAATTCTGATATTAAATTATACCAATTAATATATAACTAAAAATCAGAAATTAATTATTTGCAATAAAACTCTGATATAGTGGACTTAAAGCAAGTAAATATTTTCTGATTGCAAAAATTTTAATTTTAAAATTATTCAAAATTACAAATGTAAGTAAACATCAAGAAAATTAGTAATGAAAGAGTTGTTTAAAAAAATTTTAATTATTTATAGAATAATAAATGGTTTGTATAGTTTTGAAATTTAAAAATTTTTTCAAATGAGCAAATAATTCATTGATTGTTTGAAACAAAATACCAATTTAAATTAATGAATTTAAGTCAAATACGCAATTTGAAGGGAAAAAAGCGTATTTCCAGGCAATTTTCGTCACGCATAGTGTAAGTAAAGTATCAGATGGCATAATTTTGCACATATTAAAAAAGAAATAAGAAAATTTTTTTGCGCACATATATGGATAAATATTTTTTGTTTGTTTTGCATGTATAAAGCAAAAAAATATCAGATAGGAATGGAAATTAACTGCGATAAAATAGTATGCTTTTTTATTTTTTTTAAAGGGATACGACAAAATCAAATAAATAGATCTAAAATATGTTTAGAACATGACAGATTACTTCTGTGGCAGTTTGCTTAGTTAGTTAGCTAAGAAAATTTCTAAGGAAAGAATGAGCTTAAGACTAAGACTGATTTAATGCAAGCAATTCTTGGCTATGAAAGAACGACCTCTCAAATTGTTAAATTTAAAATTCTTTTAAACTGCTTATTGCATATCAAGAATTGTAATTTTAAAGTTAATTTTATGGGACGGATTTTTTCATATACATTTTACTCTAAAAAATTTTAAACATTATTACTCGATATATTATTTAGTTGATTTCAAGAGTCCATTAGTAGATGTATTTCTAAGCATGATTATAATTAAATCCTCAAAGACTAAACTTTTCCTATTTAACTTTATATAGGCTAAGACTATATTTGATATAACAACTGTTCAAATTTTTTTGGTTTCAAAAAGTTTTAATTATTACTGTAGGCAATATATTGTTCATATTTTTCCACGTAACATCATTATTCAAGAAAATATTTCAAACATTATTACTCGATATATTATTTAGAGTAATAGTTTTTTACTATTCATTTGATTTAAAAATTTGATTGATTTTGCCTGTACTATGCTTTATTAAGATAACTCAGATTGAATTAGATTTAACTATCTTTTAATAATTGCTTAGATTTTCAAAAAATTTTAGCAGTGAACATAGTTTACTGCATGTTTGTAATTATTTGCTTTCAATTTACCACCGTAGTCACTACTGTATTGCTAAATTGAAATATATAATTTGAACCAAAAAGTAATGCTAATTCTATGAGCAATCACAAATTTGATAAGGATTTATCTAAAAATCAAAAATATAATAATTTCATCGTATTTCACTAAATTTCAAATTGTTTTAAAGACCTTTGATCAATTTATTGTAACTTAAGGAATGATAAAAGGATAGAACTTCTGATAGTACTAATTTTATTAAATAACCTGAATTTAAATAAATAGATTAAAAAGTAAATTAGTGTTATTTGTTAGATATTAATTTTTGTAAAGCTTATAAGCACTTTCTAACATTACTCGATATCATATGCAGAAATGCAAAAAGGATATAAAATTGTTTTAAATGAGCGTAAATTAACTAAATTTTGCATATCAAAATTTTATCAAAAATGTTATCATTGGTATTACGTATAAAGATACTAGTTTAAGAATATTTGCTTTAAAAAACTGAAAATATTTAAGCGCAAATGAAAAGTTAAGTTGCATGACTGATAAAAGCATTTTCTTTAGTTATTAATTCCAAAATTAGCCACAAAATGTTTAAATTATTTAAATGCACATACATGTTAAATGCTAAAATGTATTTTTATTTATTACATTTAATGAATTTCAATTGTATTAAATATTGATTTCATCGTGTTAAAAAAGTATTTAATTATAGGCAAAGTGCTGACAAAATGTCTTAAAGCACCATGGTATTTGACTAAATGTGGATATCGTCGTTTATTTTGTTATTATACTAGAAAAACATCTGAAATTCAAAAACTTGATGTTGAAGAATTCACAGGTTAGTATTTATATAATTTCAAGTCTTTTACTACATATTACTTGTTCAATTTTTATTTAATTAATTACTTTTATCACCAAAACTTTCATTACTAACTTTAACTGTGAAACATTTAACTCACAAATCGGATTGTTTGTGATTGCAAGTTTGGTTTTAGATTCTGATGAAGCATCATTGTTATCATGAATCTGTTTAGCTTGAAAAACAGTAATAAAATACCGTTGCAAGTTTCACTTACACCATCACGCAAATTTTTTAATTACAAATTAAAATTTAAAAGGAAATATTTCAATTTCTTCAATTTAAAATTATTTTTATTTTTTAGCACAGTATGACAATAAATGCGAACATTTATTTGAAGAGTTTACTTGGAGAATTGCTCTAATATTCAAATTTTTCATACATAATTTGAGTTTTGAAAGGGAGGATGCAAGATTTTTGTACTGATGCGAACAGTATTTGATTTAAGAACCACACAAAAATTAAATTGAAATTTATTTCAGTAATATCATTTTAAAACACAAATATTAGAATTTTTTCTAAAATGTTAAAATTAAAAATTTGGTCTATGAAAGACTTAAGTTACTTCATGAATATAAAGTTAGCATAAATGTTAGTCAAACTTGAGTTCAAAAAATTATTATGGTTACTGTTGTATGCGTTCTTGATTTTTTAGACAATGTTAACTCACGTAAAAATTGAATTGTAAAATTAATTTTAAAATTTAAATTTAAATCGAAGTAACTAAAATTGTGATTGATTATCTAATATTTCTGAAAAAATCTTTCTCGTATACATTGTACTCACTATTATTTCTTTATTATTTTCATTTACAAATTGGTATTAAATTTTTAAATATTTTTATTTAACACTTTTTAATATTTTTAGCTTTCAAGAATGATATTTTAGACCTTGAAAATTTCGATCTACCAATACCAGTAGCAATATCAGTAGTTATTGCTTGGATATTTATTTGTTCTGCGACATTTTGTATTTGGGAAAAAGACTGGGATTACTTTGTTGCCTTTTATTTTTTTTTCATATCTTTAAGGTATTATTATAGTTAAAACATTTTATGATTAAAATAATTAATTATTCTAATCCAGAAAAATATTTTGTACCAAAAACTCAGTAAGCAAGTTGTAAATGATTGATGAAGACATTGTATAGCTAAAAGTAAGTGGGTTTTATCAATTTTAGCAAACGAAACTTTTTTATTATAAATTATTTATTAGATTTTTTGCAAAATAAATACAGTTATTACATACTTTATCTTTTTTTGCTAAAATTTTTTCTTTCATTTTTAATGTCAGACTGAAACGTTTTGCTCAAAATTTGTGAATATCGTACAATTATATGCACAGATTAAGAATAACTTGCAAAATTTTTCACATCTAACGACTTAATTTGAATTATAAAATTTCAAACGTAGAAATTTATCAGCAGATAAATTGAATTTATGGATACATAATTTAAATTTAAATTAAAGTAAAAAAATTTTTCGATAAAATAATTATTAAAAAGATGAGCATTTTTTTGTATAGTATATTATCTGTATCTGTATTTAATGAAATAAAAGGACAATATTTATCTATATTATGAATGTCATGCAAAATATAACAGGTGAGTGTGAGAAAAATGGAAATAAATAAATTGAAATGTATTCAAAAACAGATATTCACAAATTTAATAATACATATAGACGGTTTTTAATGAAGTTTAATTCATTTTTTATTTATTATTTTATATTTTATATCATTGCTGAATAACTGAGAAAATATCTTCCATTATTTGCAGATATGAAGTTTATCTCTTGCAATTATTCCTCTGAATTAATTGTCTAAATATTAAAATGTTCGAAAAAGTTTTTACTAGCCAAAGTAAATCATAAACTGTTATTGAAGTTGAAAATTTTATCAAAAATATTTTACTTAAATTATTTTTTAAGCACAATTGGCCTCGGAGATATTACTCCAACGCAACCAAAATATTTACTTATGCTATTTATTTATATCATCATTGGTCTTGCATTAGTTTCTATGTGCATTAATTTGATACAGGTAAGCGTGGTCGAATTTCTTTACTATTAAATATACAAGTTTGTTTTTTATCATAAAATTTGATTTGCAAATTATAATACCTATTTTATTAACTATTATGCAAATTTGATATTATATTAATGCATAATATATTTTTAATTCTCATTTTTTAGACTAAAAAATAATAGTACTTGTAAATAATGCAAAGCTATGCGCAAGTTTAATATTTATTGTACTCTAATCACGTTTTAAATAAATTAAAGTTTTATATTTGACGAAAATAATTCCTAAATATTTGAGTAACAGTTTAATTTAGGCACAAATGGCAAAAACGTACGAAGTTGGACAATTGGATAATTTAAGTTTAGCTTCAGCTAATGTTGATCATTCATTTGCTAATATAAATAAGAAGTAAGGAAAATATGAAGGTTTAAAACTGAATCATTCATTTCAAATATTCATAATTATTATTTTTGAGTTTTTTTTTAAACAAATGAGCTTATTTAATAATAAGTTATTGCTTTAGAATTAGCAGATTAAGCTCGGATTCAAGTCGCCGAGCATCATTAGGCATCTTCAAAAGTTCTAAAAATATTGCTTGTGGAAGTAGTAGTAAGCGTTCAATATCTCGAGAAACTGTACGTAATGCTTTGTTCGACAAAAAAAATTTAAATAAATGTACACAAACAATGCTTTCCTTTCCAAGTCCATCAAGAAGTTCAACTATTTATAGACATGCTCATAATTCTAAGGTAAAATATATAATTACTTTATAATAATCTTCAATTTAGTTACAAATAAACCAGTTTTTGAGGAAATAAATAGTTTAAATTATAATTTTTAATTACAATTTTTCATTCCTTCCTTTTTTTCAAAAAAAATTTGATCATGTAGTTGATTTGTAGATAAAGTTTTTACCTCGAAATTTATCACTTGATGATGTCATGAAGTTGGTAGATACTGAAGAAGGTGATATTATAGTATTGACTGACCTTATCCGGGATGAAAGCAATACTTCGGATCTTTCTGATGTTAGCGATATTAGTAATCAAGTAAGTAATTATTAGAATAAAGAATGAAATACAGATATTACAAAGTTAAAAGTGTAAAAGACCTTCTCTTACTTAAAATGATTTACAGCAACTTTAGAGATTAATTCTCAAACTGATTATAAATAATAAACAGTTTTTTATCAAAATATAATATTTCTTTTCTAAAATAAATAATTTAAGAAATCAGTGTAAGTTTTAATAACCCATATTTTCAACTTTTGTTTTTTCACTTCTCCAACTAAAATTAGACAAATTACTAATCTAACCAATTAATTGACAAGTTAAATTACTGATTCTTTCTCAAGTTATTCAATTTGATGACAAATTTAATAATTAAATATGATATAGTAATTGAAAAATTTGCTCAACAGAAAAGTTTTGAATTACAAAATGATCATCGAAAAAGCAACAAATAGCAAATAACTTTAGCTTAGTTCTTAGGTACAATGCTTAATTTTTGAATGTATTTCTTAGACAACAATAGATTATTAATTTTCGACTAATTCATCAAAATTGTTTAGTCCGACTTGACTATTAAGCCATACTCACGCTCATCTCTTCTGCCTAATTCACCTTCGACATATCATATTAAGGTAAATTCTTCTCACTATAAATGCTAAATATACATTATTCTAATTTTAAAACTATAATAACAAATAAAAAAATAAACGCTCTTTTTTGAAAAGTAAATAAGTTTGTGGTTACAGATTTTAGAGGATTTGAGGGGTCAGATAATATTTACGGCAAGGTTTTTTACGTGCACGCAATATTCTATCTCTCAATTGCTATTATTCCTTTAAAAAATAAAATTTCCTGAGTACCAACAAAGTTTGTTTTTTTAATATAAAATTTTTTGAACATTATTCAAATTACAGAATACATTTTGCAATCATTTTTGTCCAACTGGATCATACTTTACACCATCAATGCACGATATTGAAGCATTTGAAGAAATTGAAGACCAAATCCTCTTAGAAAAGATAAATACAGTCAGCAATCTTTCAGGTGTTCATTTCAGATCACGGTTAGTATTTTTAAATACATCCATAAGAATTGATAAAACACTTTGATTTGCAAAGACTTTTAAGAGATAAAAGCTCTACCATAACTATTTTCGTTACTGATAAAGTATGTATATTTACATCTATCTATTAAGTAACTTTCATTGATATTAAGACTACTCGAAACTGAAATAAAAATTTAGATTAAGTTTGATACCTGAAATACACAATGCGAAGGATGAAGATTATGCAAATGAAGAAAATACTAATGATACTCAATTATTGGGAAGTAAACTTTCTGTGGAACGTCAAACTTCTATGAAGTTACCATTACCTTTACACAAGTATTAAGCCAATAATTTCAATTTGGTAAAATTTTCCAAAAATAAAATTTGTAGTAAATTTTTATTGAAATAGAGAAAGAATGTCATTTGCTACTTTAAATAATAATTAGAAATCTAAAAGAAAAAATTAATTTGATAGCAGTTTCTTAAGAAATCTAATTGTGGCTATGTCTTTTATGTCTAAAGATTTTCAGCATATTTTTTGGAAAATCAAATAATGGTAATGTCTAATTGTTAGTTATCGATTCGGAACAAAATTTAAATTCTAAGCCAATTTTCGAAATTTGAAGTCAAAGTTACTGCACACTTTTGTGACATAAACTGTTGTATGGAACATAAAAAAGTGGTAGAATTTACACGTTTTATAATTTTCCTTTTAAAAAAATCAAAAATTAAGGAAAAGCTCCCTCAGACGAAATGCCTAATATGTTTTGAATTTAACTACTAAGTTTTTTTGCTATTTGTCCCTTCTAACAATAAAGAAATGCGTATTATACAGGTGATGAGAAGACTTTGTTTAGTGCCGTCCAAGAAAGCAATTTGAAATAAGCTTAGCTTCTCTTTCTACACTTACAAAAATTTTACAACAAATTACTATTTACCATCAAAAGTTTCAGTCACTATTTGTCAGAAAAAAATATAACTGAAAAACTAAGAACACAACCATTATTAAGATCAAAACAGTGAACTTTCCTTAATGAAATTGAAATAGAATTTCTGATCGTCATGAAGGAGTAAGGCATATTATTCACATCCCAGTTTATTAATATTCCATCTAAAGTATTCCGCAAAAACTAAGAAGATAGGAACCATTTTTTGTAGTTAAATCGTAATTTCAATCTGATACGACAATTCTGATAATGAGTTTACAAACTAAATTGACCAAAATAATAATTCCAACTAATAATAACTGCTGCATATGCCCTGCAAACGGTATACCACAATATAACTGCAACATCACTCGTAACTCTCAAAAAAAATCACCATTTGCTCGATAAAATTAAGTTCACTTACTAATCGATCGACTGATGAATCTAAACAAAAATGATGAAAACGATTAAAGATTAGCTTCTAAGATTTTATTTTATTTTCATAGTAATGCATTGCGAAATTACGAGCTAATTATTTACAAACCAAATATAATAAGCATTTGACAAAAAGCCAAAAACTTTATGCATATATTAAAATACGAGCGCAGTACGCAAAACAATCTGAATTACAACGCTTCGCATGCTACAAATATTACTGTCTCAAACTTTGATACCTAGTATAAAACAGACACTTTCATACATTTCTACTCTCTGATGAATATTTTGAAAGTTGTTTTTTATTCCCGCACGCTGCCGAAAAGAGAGCCACCTTCGTCAATATCAGTTTCCAAAATGTTCTGAAAATTAAGTAATGTTACGATCAATTTAAAATACGAAAAATATTATCCCATCTGAATTGCGATACTACTATTTATCAAGTTAAAGATTGACGCAGAATTTATCTTACATTCCAAATTCCTATTTTTATTCCATTTGGAATATGATAAGTCTTGGAAAAACTGATTCCTACTGTAGAAATAAATTAGCTTTGCGATTTCAACAACTACTACATGCCTCAGTCTTAAGAAAAGTTCCATGGCACACTACTAAACTGATACATTATTAAACAAAAACTAAATTATACTTAAAATTTTCATCATAATATGATCCGAAATACGAAATATTTACCATAGATAGTATTTTTGTCCTCTAAATTTCATAAAGATTTTTAAAGTATTTAAAAAAAACATGTTTATTCCTTAAGCATACCAGATATATGTCATATAAGCTTCTTTCGCCTTCTTTCTTACGAATTTCTCGTTCACGCGCAGCCTCTGCAACTTTTTGGTCATGTTCCTTCTGACGTACAATTGCATGCTTTTCACAAATCATCCGATAACGGAGACAACCCCAAACAGCACCTAATCCTGAAACACTGTATTATATCAATTTTCGACCCGATCATTCAAAAAGTGATTGTTACCTTGTCATCTGACCATGAAATGGCTAGATTACTTTTATAATAAAAATTATTTATATCTTTTAGCTAAAACACCATCATAACTTGAGAAGCTAATAAAAACGAAAATCTTATGTATAATGAAGTACTACATCTTAACTCAGAAAGTCTGAAATGTATGACCCAAATAAATTTACTTTCACGCTAGAAATAAAAAAATGAATAGAAAAACTAACCAAGAAGTGAGTAACGCATAAGTCGCAAAAGCGGAGAAACACGAATCGCTGGCGGTATCACAATTTTATTAGAAAATTCCGGAGAACTCATAGTGCCGTCCTGGAGAGAAAAAAATAGAACAAAAATACGAAAACAGTAAAAAAATTTTTTGAATAATAAATAAACAATCTAAGTTCACATTACAAAAATCCTATAAATATCATAATATTTATAGAAGCCTTTCTATAAAAGGATTTCTATAAAGAAGTTAAAGTAGAGAAGATTGCAAAGAATACTTGCAGACAATCCCCTTGTGAATAATTTGAACATAGCTAAAAAGCCACTGCTATCCAACCAGCAAAACTATTAATACCAAAAGTTCAAAAAAATATTTGCTGCTTTTATGAAATAGAAAAAAGAAACTTCTAGAATAATATGATAAATAATAGAGAAACAAACTACCGAACTATAAAAAACAACTTTTAACTCTAGAAAATATCATGATACAATGCAGAAATGTTGGCCTTTTCAAGAAACGATATGAAAATTTGGAATCTCAAATTTTTAGCATTTGAAAAGCGAAAAAGTAATTCGATATACTTGCAAATTGCAATTTTATTACATTTGATTACATTAATCGTCATGGCAAATAATCGCTTCTTAATTAAATTTAATATTTTTAGTAACAATGTTTTTGAAACTTGCCTCTATAATTACATTTTTCAAAAAAATTTTTATTAAAAAAAATACAATTCTCTTTAGTTCAATATATCTTTATTATTAATAATACCTAAAAATTTAAGTAATATAATAAATAATACTTGAAAAATAAAAAAATACAGAAAAATAGTAATTCCACCATTGTTGTCTTCTTCAGTTTTAGTTTTAAAAGTGGCAGCAATAGAATGAATTAGACTTTAAACTACATATAAGTATTGAAAGAGTCATAAAAATTTTTAGAGCTTAATTATTTCAGACATATATTTTAGTGAACTATTTGTGCACATTTAGGCAAATAAAACTACTGATAAATTTGAGTACTGATTATCAATTGATCAATTCACATTTATTATTAATAATTAGTGAGCAAATTATACAATGAAGTCATATTTTACGTTTATTGAAGTATTCAACATCTTTCAGTATATATAACTGAATTAAATGTGAGAAAATTACTACAGAAATTAACTTTTAGAAAGAAAAATTATGCACAAATAAAAGAGATATTTGAATAAATACATAAAGTAAACTTAAAATTTCAAGCAACGTTGACAGCAACGTATTTGCAAGAACTGTGTCAAACGTGAGTGTACAGAAATAATGAACTATTTTAATTCATGATACAAACTTGAAAATTTGTTTTTTAAGAAATTAAATATAATTATTAAATTGTCGGAGAGTGAGAAAAAAATATTTTAGAGTTTAAATTGCTTTCAACAGTACTGAAATATTTTCATTATTTAGATTACATGTTTCTAAAAAATTTTTCATTATAAAATGGATGTAAATAAATATTAATTTCGAATTTCTTTTAATTTGAACTTATGTTAGGATATATTCTTTAAGAAAACGGTTTTTGCGCTAAAAGCAAATAATTAATAATTGCAAAAATAGAAGTAATTTTTGTGTTATCATTATTTCATACTATTGTTATAAAATTTCTAGTCAAATCTGTAGTTTTTTTCGAAAAAAGTTTTGTGCAAAAGTAATTTATTATTATTATTATTATTATCATTATTATTATTATTATTATCGCTAAAGAAATTTTTATTGTTGTTAATGTTAATTTTTATGATAACATATCTATCAGGGTAGCATAAATGATAACTATATATATATAATATATTATTTCCTTGTTTAGAACTTTGGCAACATGGTTTTTTGAAAAAACTTTGCTGTTTGCTTAAAGTTAAAGTAAATCAATGAATGATTAAGTAAAGGATTAACTTTCACACAGCAACGAAATAAAGTAAATACTACCTGAAGGAGTTAGTTACTTTTACTAAAACCGGAAATGTGTTAGGATAAGCTTTACATGTTTGTGCCACAAAATTGTTGAAGAAATTTCTATATAAATTACTCTTTTTATTTACTTAAAATTGTTAACATGTAGTACTGATAATTTCTGCTTGCAAAAAGCTAAAAGTATTTTGCTCATTTTTGTGACATTTTTTTAAATTTCAGCATAAAAATTTATTTTCCTTTACAATTTTTTTCTTCTATTAATCATTGTATTACTAAGTAAAATATTTGTCTAAAAGTAAATCCAAGCGATAGTTTCAATTCGAAAAAGCTTTTTTTTTAACTTTATTCATTTTTTTATTCTAATTCAAGAAAGCCAAAAATATTATCATTTTTTTATTCGATTAGTCATAGAGTGCTGTTAATTATTATTTAATTTAATTAATTATTATTTTTAATTATTTAAAAAAATCACACAAATGAAATTATTATTTTATGAAACTATTATTATTATTTTAACTATTTCACTTTACAATAATAAATAACATTACTTAAAATGTTAATTGCAGCAGCAGAATAACTTCAATATGCAAATCTTACTAACATTGTCATTGGTTTTGCTGACAGGTAAAAATTTTTGATCAAAAACTTACAAATTTATCCCTCTAAAATTTTTCAACAATTGTTTTTGTTGAAAAAATTTGCGCACCAAGTTTCAGTAATCTGTGAATTATTATGAAAAATAAATTTTTAAGTAATATAAAAATTTCACTGCTTATAAAAACATCAAAATGGACACTCATTCAATCAGTTACTTACAATTTAAACCAAATATTGTGCTTTTGACCAGTACATAATTTAATAATTACAACTTCCAAGTATCTACTACAGATGCTTTTAGATTCTCAAAAAATATTTTACAACTTACAAAATATTGTTTATGTACACTTTGCTAATGGTTTCATCTAAACTTTCAATAAAGCGTAATTAGGATTACCTCTTGCACTGAGTCAATGTCCGAGAGGTAGTACGGTACTAAATGGTTATCGATGCAGTTCAAATATACAATGTCAAAATATATCACCTAACTATTTTTGCAATTCAGGAGTTTGCTGTTCCATTCGTTCTGGTAATTTGAATAATTTTATTATTTTTTTTCAGACTTAATTTAAATTACCATATTAAAACTTGAGTTTTTGCAAAAATTAGATACTTTCACATTTTGAAATTTATTATTTTATTTTCGATTAATATAATTTCCAGTTACTGAAATCCTATGCATAACAAAAACATTACTAATATAAATGGTAAATGTAATAAGAATTTTGATAGACTCATGCAAAACATGTCAATTTTTAAACTAGATACTGTTTCTACGGTATCTTACGGTGGATACTGTACGAAATCCGAACAATGTAATTCAGTGGGGGCAGTTTGCATATCACATATTTGCCAATGCGCTCCTGATTCTCACTATAATGGTAATTCATGTGTTTCAAGTAAGTAATTTATTCACTTTCTAATTTCTTAATAGATAAAAATTAAGGCTGACTAATGTTACAATATAAAACATAGTTTTTGAAATTCTGATAAAAGTTTGAAAGTTTAAAGCTATAGCATTAGATTTAAATAATTTTTTAATGTTAATGTTTCTTCACTTAAAATCAATACAATGATTCAAAGTAATTTTATTAGTAATTATTAATTAGTAATTAGTAATGAATTTGTAGTAATTTTTCTCTCTATAATACTTTTGTGTACTTTAATAACTAGTTTTTTAGCACTAATTTTTTGTCCATCAAATCAAATTTTAATAAGTGGCAAATGCTATCGAAAAGTAAGCTATGGATTTCTGTGTAGCTATACCCAACAGTGCGGCTATATCGGTGCTTTTTGTACAGATGGAATCTGTCGTTGTCAGAAGAATTATACATTTGATGGCAGTAAATGTATTTCACGTTTTCAAAGTAAGCAAAGTTAATTTTTCTACTGTACATATAATTTAATATCATTTGATCTTATATGCTGCATTTTTGAATAATTAATGATAGTACTGTGGAGCAGTACTATTACTTTCAATCAGAACTTTCAAAAATTCACAGTCACAAACTTTTTACAAATTTCTGCTTCATGAATTCTAGAAGAAATAAAAAAATTCAGAAATATTAATTTATTTTTAAATATTTTTACAACTCAAATCAAAAAAAAAAAATTAAAAGTAAAGAAAGACTTCATTATCTGATAAATTTGATAGTTTTAAAAAAAATTTTTTTGTAAATTGTAGAAAGTGAATGTAATTTGATCAAATTGAGTTCTTCTTTGCTTCAAACTTATTTGTTTCCTTCCTAATCCTAATTTATGATTAATTATTTTGTGATCATAAACACATTTTTAGACTAACAATTGGAAAATTCAAAAACAAAATAGATAAAATAAAGAGCGATACAGGTTGTAATAACTAGCTGTAGCTTTTGGATCAAAGTAATTAGCACAAATTGTGAACTGTCATTTATGTTTTAATTTTTACTGCGATCAGTACTAAATCTGTCAACATCTCAGGCTAGTAATACACCGATTAATCAATAATTTTAACTCAGAAATTATTAGGATGTACTGAAAATCAAGTAAGCATCGATGGATACTGTTATGCAGTCTCAGGGCTTGGTCAATCTTGTGCTTACTCTCAGCAGTGTATTGATCAGTGGTATCGATCACTGCAATGCATTAATGGTTATTGCGTGATCATCTTGAATGATGAATCAATGCGTAAGCTTTTAATTTCGGCAATTAAATTTCAATTTCTTAAAATTTGAGTTTTCAACAGCCGTATAATTTTGAGTAATCAAATTTTTATGCATTGTTACGCTATTATTGCCATTTCTAAAGTTTTGAATAATTTTATGCAAATATGAAAAAATAATTGAGAACAGAAAAATACACATAAAACTGTAATCTCCTCAAAATTTTCATCAGAGTCAGAAGTTTTTGAGTATTTCAGTTCATGTTTAGCTGTAGTAAATCCTCTGATCTTAATTATATTCATCTAATTACTTTTAAGTTATGAATCCTTTACAATATTCAGCAACTTGCAAAGACGAACATGCTAAAGTAGAATACGTGAATGGTACAATAAAAAATTGTTTATATACGCCATGTACAGTGGGTTACTTTTGCGAGTACAACAAATATCACAACGATGGACAGTACATTTGTTGTGGTACAAACGCTAACGATATATATGGTTCGATTTTCAATCAAACATTTGTATAAATTTTAGAAGTAAATATCTACTAAATAATTAAAATTAGCTTTCACGTCATTTTTCAAGCTTCATTTCTTAATTTTTCCATCCACAAAATTCAAATAACAATCGTAAATAAATTTTTTGGAAAAATTCATATCAAATGCTTACCATAATAACAATAATAATAACGGTAATAGTAATAATAATAATAATAGTGGTAATAATAAAATAATGATAGTAATAATAATAGTAATATATGCAATAATATATTCGGTTGACTTCAAGTCTTACATGTTTTTCAATTATGAATATAATTCTTGAATTTTTACGTATAGAAACAAGTTTCGAGTTCTAAATTATCAGCACGTTCTATTTTTTCTATTTTACGCATTGCTTCCTAGATATTTCTATTTTTTTCAGGTAAAGTGAAAGTTTACCCTGGTACTAACAATCCATTACTGTGTACATCCTTGAGCAGTTGTACATTTGTGGATACCCCAAACTGCGTAATGTCATATCGATATGGCCACAAAGTTTGTTGCTCTACGATGAACTGTTAATTACTGGAAATGAAAGCGAAAAGTTGGAGTTAAAATTTGACCTTTAATGGGTGAATAATGAAAATTTACAAACAAATGCTTCTTAAAATAAGTCATTTTTTGAGTGTTTGTTTGGTTTCATTTTTATTTTCATAAAAATAGCGGAAAAACACCGTAAAAATTACATTGCATAAGAATGACTGATAATTCCAACGTTTCAGTTATTGAAATTGGCTGAAATGCATTACTTCCATTACATCTTTAGTGCTTGAAACGATTACTTTTTATGATAAAGTATTGATTTTCGCTGATACAAGCAAGTTATTACTGTGTACATCTATTACATTCGTGTAAATGATTACTGTATTAAAGAAGGCTAATTGTAAAGAAAGATCAGTGAGGTCAAAAGTTCATTGGTTTTCAATCACAGAAATGAAAATAGGATGTCCAGTTACATCAAGAATAAAAATAAAAAAATAGTACTAATAATAATATGGACGAAAGTCACTTCACTATTAAAATTACAGTCTAAGGCACTTTTTCATGTTCCTATCGGTAACTTATCACTTAAATTGAAGTATAAATGCAAAGGAGTACTTATTTTCTATTTTCTTTATTCCGGTCGTACAAAAATAATGCACGAAAATTCATTAGTGGACTGGAAGCAGATTAAGACAGTTATTTATGCATTTCGATAAAAAGTACTGATATGATTGTTTCTGTAATAAGGGATTTGCAAATGAGGTTCAAATTAATTAAGATTTGAGGGGACATGTTTGTATGCGTCAATAATAATCCACCACGGACAATTCAAGTAATCATGGTTTAGGCTTAGTAAATGCTTGAGCTTTACAAATAGTATCAAATATTCTTATACTTACTGAATTTGAACTGATCGTTGCAATCATAAATTACTGAGGCATGAAATCCGTAATTAAGGATGATCAGCATATATTCCGATAAGGCGAAAAAATTGTATGCTATAATTAAAGATTAATTATTATTAAAAACATTAGCAATTCATACTATTCAAAAATCTTTTATTCAAAACTACAATTATGTGATAATAATTTTGATAATGATTGGAATTTCAAAGAGTCCATATTCTACTTATTTGATTAAACGTCTGTTACAATTTATTCTCAGCGAATGAAATCAAAAAAAAATTAGTTTGCAAAACAAAATAATAATAAGCATACCAATAATAATAATTAATAATAAAATTTCTCGTAAAAATTTGCAAATTTTCGTGAGTAACATACAAATGAAACTTTTATATTCGTCCTCACAATACATTATACCTACCTAATCATTAAGATTTGCAGCCAATTATTAATTTATTGATGTTATTTATTATTATTAATAACAATTATTATTATCATATTAGCAATTTGACAGTAGAATGAAGTGAAAGAAATCGCAGGTAGAAAATCGAAAAGTTTTGATTCATGTTTGTGATTGCAATCAAACTCTGCTACAGAAATGAAAAGGAACATACCAAAATTGTAACATAGCTCCCAATACATAAGGAAAAGCGTAAACGTTGTGGGGATTAAAATGATATAAGTTAAGGTTAGATGAAATTTTAGGTTGAAACTCCATTGACCCTAAAAGTTCATATGTTTTTTGTACTAATTTTTTCAATATGATAATATTGTGTAAGAAACAAAGTTTATTAATTTTGGTTCACTAATTCAGTTACTAGCTTTTTCAGTGTCAGTAAAGAAGGACATTTGAATGTTTTTTGGTAATAAGCGCGGAGGTGGTCATTTCAAATTATTATTATGTATATAATTTCTGGTTTAATTACTTTTTGCTAATTTTTTTTCGAAATAATTAAAGCTGCTATTGAATAATTTTTTTAATCATATTAAAATAGCAGGAGCCTTCACGTACAAAACTTGCTTTATTTTTTGACTTCAAGGAGTGAACGAAGTCATTGGTAGTTTTCCTAATTTTATTAAAATTGAACAATTTTTTTCCCGTTCATTATAATCAAATACGACTTCAAAATCTTCAGTCTTTCTAATTTATATTCCTAATGTCTCAATGTTGTCATTAAATTATTCAATTTTGGCGATAAAAATCAGTTTATAATACAATAATACAACTGATTAGTTCTGTAAATATTAAAGTAATTAACACAGGTATAGAACTTTTTTGAATATTTGAAAGTAATGCTACACAGAGTTGAAACTCACGTTTACGTGTTCTAAGTAATGCTTGCTATAACGAAATGTCAGTGTTACAATCACAAAATAGACTGAGCTTGAGAGTACAAAAATTATAAAGGAATAAACATGCCAATCTGCAAAGTATTTACATCTTTACAAATAGCTTTTTTAATAATTAACATAAAGTTTCTATGGTTTTATTTTCTTTCAGGAGAATTCTAATCACAGATATATTAATTTTTTAGAATAATTACTAAAGTAAGAGCCATGTAGCTCAATAGTCTCTTCTCGTTCACCAATCACAGTTAATAACAAAACTGCCAAGATTTCCACGAAACCAGAAACGGGTATAATATGTGAAAGTATTTTATGCAATTTTGGCTTACTAATAACGTTTGATGAAATTTTGCATATCTGATCTGAAAAATGATCAAACATTAAAAATCCTTTAAATATAAACTATTAATAAATCTATTATGAAAATATATAATTCAAAAAAGCCAATACTTTACATTATTATAAATACATTCTTAGTCTTACTAAATATAAAATTCAGTAGCTTTAATCTATGAATTGAAAAGTAATTTTTTAGGGTTTTTATTATTAGAAAAATTAAATATGAGTGATTTTGAACGAGAGCTCAATGCAATAATAACTTGATTTTCAGATATATCCCTGAATTTATATTTGAAAATGCTTTCAAAAAAATAAATGTGAAAAATAATTCAAAATTTTCAAAAATTTTATCATGAATGAAATTTTAAGCATTATCTAATTAATCATAGATCGGAATTCAACTAAAAAATTGATGAAAATGTAGCGATAAATCAAATTATAGCTTAAATCGAGAAGCTGATTTATGAAATGCTATTTTAAATATTAAAATTGAATTTTTAGATAGGTCAAAATTTATATGTTAATCTAATCTACTTGTTATTGTTCACGTTAGCATTTACATAAATAAAAATTTTTGCTTTCTAAAATAAAAACTAACAATTAATATAAATGAGGAGAAGTCGTAAAGGAAGGTGAAATAAAATTGCAGCATTCCAAATGATTCGTTCTTTGGGCAGATTTATGATTCTCGAAAATGATGGCATTTCAACAGGCAAAAATAGAGAAAATTTTCATGATAAAAAATGATTCAATTCATAGCAATGCAACAACGTTGCTTAATAAATTTACAACAGCGATTAATTAATAATGCTTGAATAAGATAAGTTTCAAACCAAATATTTTTTATTTGCCGAATATTATTATATTACAGCAAAAATAAGTAATTAATTTTTAAATTCCATTCTTTCAAGTATGTATCAGACTAACTTAGACTTATAATTACTATTAAAGATTAATAGGTCAAACGTTAAATTATTATATTTTCATAAGTTAAAAATACAAATTTGGCAAATTCAATAACTCCACTTATACTGAGTAAAAGCTTAATAAATGGATAGATATAAGATGCTTACTCCACAATTCCAGCTATAATCCATAATTTTCTGATAATCCCAAAAAAATCCTAAGACGAAAGCGATAACAAGAGCAATGATAGGTATTGCTATTGTCAGCATGGCATAATTTTGCAATGAGATTGTAATTAATACATTGTTGTTCATTTTCTTTATTTTCGTTAAACTTTCATCGATAGGAGATTGAAAGATGCTGCTTTTCTTATGGTTCCTTGAATATCTTCGTTCTCTAATATTTGACATCTTTCTGCAAATAAGCAATAATTAATTATTAATTCGACATCTATTAATTAAGTAATTAATTGACTTGAAGTTTACTCACTCTTAGTAATTATCAAATAAGCTTTGATTCACAAAGTTCGCTAAATTAATTTGATTTTAATCCAATAATTATTAACATAAAAGTGATATAATTGCCAATCATTTTTATCACAAGTGCAAAAACTAATAAAGTTTTATTTATTACATGGAGTGTATAATAAATTGTATGAAACAATTACAGGTGCTTACAAAAAATTTATTGATTGCTGACATCTAAAATTTAAATTCTAATTCTTATCATTAAAATATTGTCATTAGGAATGAAAGTTGTTAACCAATCTATCTCAGTCGAACTTTTTTGATTACTATCATATTTACATCCCAAATGAATGCTTAGTCTGAACTTGCTAGTCATAACAGTAAATCATCAAATAGCAAAGCATCATTAAATGTAATTCATAGCGAAAACAGATTTCATAAAAGCATAAAAATCTACTTTGATTATTGACTAGCATTACCATTTTTTGATCACAACTACTGATAAAAAATAAAATCAATTCTTTTCTGGCAAATTTTTTGAAACATAACAATGTGCTTCAAAAATTGCATAAAAGAAAGAATGAAAGTTTGTCTTGCGACTAAAGTTCACGTCATATTGCAATTAGTCATACTTCTACGATTTTCTGCTCTTTCCAAAAAATTTTGACCTTTAAACTTATTTCAGACATGACATGGAAACTGTCATTATACTTGTTATTGAGCTTTTTTTTTGCTTACCCCTTAATTTTTTCAAGTTAGGTTGGTAGTGATTTCAATTTGAATTTAGTCCATTTTAAGATGCAAATCTTTATTCTTATGAAAAGTATTGTATTATTCTGCAATTTGCCAATGATTATTCTCAATTCAACTAATTTTTCTTTATGACACTTTCAATGGAACAATGCATATTCTCCATTAGGTCTTGTCTATGTCAGGCTGAAATCATTTTAAAATCCTTTTCAATGCCTTTTATCGGTTTTTGAAGCTTTTCTAAATAAATACAGATTGCATAGTTCGCTACTTTGCATATAAGTAAAACTTAGACGAAATAAATTTTTAGTTGTGGTTTCTGCTTAAT